CTGAACCCCTGGAACATATTCCATGGAACATTCCTCCTCACCGATTTCGTAGCTCCCCGTTACTGTCAATTCCATTCCACAGAACTAACTTCGGATTCAATAACTGTTTTAATTCCTGTTTGAGTTCCTTTGATGATGTTTGTAACGAATTTAATTTTACTATGCCTAAAAATGTGTTCAGTATTCGAATAAGAGGTTTAGATTAAACAAGTTTTAGTTTTAAGTAATCAGTCTGTACGACGTAGTCGAAGACGGTGTGCAATAAATAAATAAATGAATATAAGCCGATCTTAGGCTCCGATCCAGATGACCCACCAAAAGATTAGGAACATCATTAAAATTGATTTTGTTCTGCAACTATATGGAATGAAGAAAAATTGTAATTTTTGACAAATAAGCTGATCATTGGCTCCCAACGACCACCAGATGGTCCGCCAGAAAATTCGAAAAATCTGTAAAATTGATTGCTGTGTAAATTTGATCAAAGTAGGCCATGATTTATATCTGCAACTATATCATATGTAGTAAAATTGTGATTTTAATATAGTTTCTGGTCATTAGATCTAAGTGGTCGTCAAATGGCCCATCGGAAAGCCCACCCTGAACATCCATAACATTGATTGCTGAATAAATTTGATCACTGCAGCCATAAGGAACATAGCAATTGCTTTGTATATTTGGTTGAAGAATGAAATGATTTTACACTGCAACAATATTGAATGTAACAAAACGGTGCTTATGAGATATAACATTGTCATAGACTCTGAGGGATCCTCCGGTAGACCTTAAACATCCATAAAACGGATTGCAACATATGTGTGTTTGAGGGAATCTATGGAATTTCAAATTGATAGGTGCGTATATTTTATTTCACGTGCCTAAATTTGTTCTTCTACAACATTATAGGATGCATCAAATGGCAATTTTATTATAATCAAACCATAAGTTTCAAACGGTTTTCGCATGGCTATCTCGAAGATCTATAATACCCGTAAAATTGATTGCATTAAAGATTTGGCCTAATGTGATTTTTCTCTGAAGCAGAAAAAGATGATCGATGGAGTTATGTCTTAATCATTTACCAGATCATTACACAGCAAAAAAATAATTTAATATTACGCCCAAGAGGATGCACTATAATCATAGAGGTAACTCTAAGACTAGAAGGTCCCGAAATAACGTGCTCAACTTTTTGGCTCAGCTCTGGTACTATCTTCGGTCCCAGGCTAATCGATTCACCCCTCGAAACATAGGAAAAACCAATAACCCCTCATTTTATCTGTCAAACTTTCATAGCGAATCAAAACAAACATTGCGTAGTACTAGAATTTCGACTAGAATGGGGTACGTTAATCGTTTGCTTGGAACCAATAGGCTAGTCAAGAAGTGAGCCAATTTAAAATCGTTAGTTTCGTATTGATTATTGCTACAATCATGTCGAAAATTTCATGTAATTTTTATGGTCACACAAATAAACAAATGCAGTAAAAGCAGCGTAATGCCACTTCATGCACTGTATTAGTGATAATTTTGTCCTTTTTGGCAAGTTATATCACACCATATTATCGACAAGATTGAAGTGCATCCACTTTGATGTGATATCAAAATTAATTTTTTTGCTGTGTAGATCATTTACGTACTGACAGGATATAAATAGTTTGCCAGACAGATTTTGATGCTATTGATGTTGCTTCTTACAGATTTTAGGTAGCTGCCTCCTGTTGAAGCTCATTCATGAGTTGAAAAATTAGCCTATCATAAACGTCTTGTAATCATCATCTCGTCATACCACAGTGACGGTTTCATTGGGTTAGTTTTGTAAAGTTTCATACCGCTGACTTATTGGGATGTAGTTGAGAAAAAGAGAATCGCTAATATAAAGCTCATTAAACATCTCACGCTGAAGGTAACGAGTTCACATCTTATCCTGCGACAAGTATTTGTACTATTTGTAGCATTATACACTAGAATAGCTCTATACTGTTGTAAAAATTTCAGCAGGTTACACAATAGCTCCTAAGCAATGATTAAAAATGCAAATCTTCATACAGTTTGTTAATATCGAAAGAAAGTTTTCGCTCGTCTTGAAGTATATAGCTAAAAAATGAATGAACTTAATTTAAAATGTAAGAGATAAATGAAAAAAAAAAATCTTTATGGGTAGTATAGCCACTAACTTAAGAACATAAACAATATATTCGTGAAACCAGATCTTATACGTAATTTTCAACGGTCGTCCAGTGGCTGAAATCTGTATATTCAGTGTTATCCCTTGCTTTCCCATAGTTGCTCAAGACAATCCGCAAGTTAGTGAATCTAGCGGCGCCGGTGGTGTAGTGGTAAGCATGATTACTTCTCACTCCAGCAGGCCTGGGTTCAATCCCAGTCGGCGCCGCCGGGATGTTCTGAGGCATAACTTCTATGATCACGCCTTCCTTCGGATGGGAAGTAAAGCCGTTCATGAGTTGATGGGTTGATAGGTAGGGTACAGGTGTGGGAGCTGCCTCCTTTGCCTCGGTAGCATTGGTGCTCAGCGCGGAAAACAAGATTGACGGAAATCAAATAAAATACAATTTTGTGGTAAGTATAGGATTCAACATTGTCTAGACCGCTCCGCAAATCGATATTAGACCCCAAAAGTTTGAACGGATCTTCCTTCGGATCATCTGCGGACCACTTGGAGCCAATGATCAGCTAATATATCAAAAATCACAATATTACTACATTCCATAAAGTTGCAGTTGATCAAATGTATACCAATTAAGGTTACGGATGTTCCACATCATCCGGTAGGCCGGTAGCCAATGACCAGCTAATATATCATAATCAACAATCATTCTACATTTCAAAAATTTCAGAGAAAAATCATGGACTACTTTGATCAAATTTACACTAAAATAAATCTTACGGATGTTTCAAATTTTCAGGTGGGTCATCCGCGGACTACTCGGAGCCAATGACCAGCTAATACATACATCAAAAATCATCATTTTAGTAAGGGAAATGGCTCTAATGTTGGCCTATGGATATGCCGGATCTTGCATTAGAAGCCAATGGCCAGCTAATATATCGAAAATAACCATTTTGCTACCTTTAATATAACATCAGAATAAACCAAGGTCTATTTTGATCAAATTTACACAACAATAAATTTGAAAGATGTTCCGAATCTTCTGGCGGACCATCTGGTGACCAGTCTGAGCCAATCACTAGCAAATATTTATAAAACCACAATTTTATAAATGTATTATATGGTTGCAGAGAAAAACCAAGGCTTACTTTGATCAAATTTACGAAGCAATACTTTTTACGAATGTTCCAGATCTTTTGGTGGGCCTTCTGGTGGCCATCTAGAAGCAATGACTGGCTAATATTTCAAAAATTACCATTTTACTACATTCCATTGAGTATCAGAACAAACCAAGGGCTACTTTGTTCACATTTACTCAGCATTCAATTTTACAGATTTGCCAAATTTTTTGGCTGACCACATGTCAAAAATTACAATTTTTGTGCAGAAAAAAATCAAGACCTATTTTGATAAAATTTTCGCAGCAATCACTTTTACGGATGTTCCAAATCTTTTGGCGGGTCATATAATGACCACTCAGAGCCAATGATCAGCTTGTATATTTAAAAAAAAAAACACATCATTTTATTACATTCCACTCCTGGTTGCACCAGTTGCAGTACCATGACTATGATGTAAGGTGGTCTAACGTCGACAGTTTTCTGAGCTGCTAGTAAAGTAACACACGAAACATCAAGAGTGGAGCAGTATTGGATTAGGGCTTCGAAGCACGATAGTAACATTGTACCTTGGACTTAACGCTACCCAACAAATCCTGTGCAACACTTGCGCCTTCTGTCTTACACACTTTCATCCACTTTTTCTTCAAATCATTTTTGTTTTTGAAGACCTTCCCTGTTTCCGGAGCTTTCCCTTCATACTCGCCCAGAATTTTTCTATTGGGCGAAGTTCTCGCGAATTTGGCGGATTTTCCAAAAACGGCGCAAAAACAACAACTCCAGCACCGGTTTCCGCCTAATGGCACGATGCGAGATCCGGCCAAAACAGAGTGTCACCTTCGTGGGACCGGAGGAAGGACAGCAGATATTTGGCCGTTGATGGTGCCGGTCGTTATGTACGGCTTGTTGAATTTGCTGCACCCACAGATCGGCTGCCACACTAAGTACTTCTTGGCAAATTTGTTGACCTTCTTCTTCTGAAACTTCTTCGGAACATCCAGGCGGGACTTGTCGATGAAAAACTCCAGGCCGGGGATCTGCTTGGCGTCCGCTTTAATGTACGTCTCGTCATCCATTACGATGCATTTCGGCTACACTCGCGTTACAGCTTCCTGGCGCGGGATTTGGCCACCGTATTATGTTTATCGGTTCAGTTAGGCGCCTTCCTTACCTTGAAGACATGAAGTCCGGCCCGCTTCACTGCCTGCTGGACGAACAAGACGGAAGAATTGACATTCTTGGCCGAATCGAAAGGTTCGGATTGCGCATAAAGTAATCCCTCACCTTCCTTGCGTTCACGGGGTCGGTCGATTTTCCACGACCGCTTCGATAATTTTTGTCGATGCCCTTCTTGCTTGGAAGCCATCTCGATAACCACTTGACAGATTGTGACGAGATATTGCACATTACACTCTAACCTAGTTTTACTCAAAATTTCATAAATTTTTACCCATGCAATAAAAAGTTACACACAAAAGAAAGTGTTGCATTTTATTCGAGTACAATCTTTAGTGTTGAATTTCGTGAAAATCTCTAGTGATATTTCGAAAGTAAAACATTTTTTTGTAAGTCAGATAATTTAAAAATGTTTGAAACCTACATTGATTTATGTTAATGCCAACTAATTTTTGTTCCTTTAGTTCCTTGATTTGGAAGACTCAATTGTGTTAGCTTTATGGAGCTGATAATTCATTGTTCTTTGTTTGTAACAAAATTCCCTTAATTCTATGTCTAGTAGGAGTTGGGCCGAATACTCGCGGCTTACCCGAGGTTAGAGGGGTACATTGTCGATGGATAAGATCAGGCAAGGAGCTTGGGAGTGAGGTTTCGTTGTCTCATCAGAGCGTTGTCACTACTATGAATGGTGGTTCGGTTCTAGATTCGTCTGGAGTGCGACCGGCTATGGTAACCAGAGGGCGACGATGAGACTCATCTAGACGGGGTAACGAGACAAACAAAAACGAATAAAGAGACTTTGACTATATGTTTTAGTATTACTTCTACGTGAAGTCAACGATTTACATAGTTGAAGATGCTAATTTCAAATAACAAACTGTAGTGGTAATTTTTATACGATAGATGGAGTAGATAAAAGCATAGAGTTGATAGTTCCGTTAGAGTACGGCAGTGTGAAGATTGCATATAGATATTAGAATAGAGAGCTAGGACAACTTTTAAGGAAGGTACAAATCGGTTTTTTCATCTCTCTTTACCAAACTCCCCCTTTGGAGAGGGATGGTGAGGGGTGTCCCCTGTCCAGAGACAAAAGACAAAGGAATTAAATTATAATACTCGACATTTGCAGAAACACACAAATCGATTGCAAGCCAACTTACTTAAAAATGCATGAATCGTCGTGATCTAGGATTATCTGTGAAAAAATCCTCTTTTGACATTCTGGGAAATTACGGAAAAAATTTCATGTCCCTTGATGGTTGATTATGTAAAAAAAAATCAACTTAACACTAGATCTCGACGTTTCATGCATTTTTAACTCATTTGGAATCATCAAAAAATCCCAGAAAGTCGCTCTGCGGCTGAAAGTTTTTTTTAGATGAGAAAAATTCAAACCTTTGATGATTTTACGCCACCCCAAATCATGTCCTATTGAGTCCAAATCTTACATAGGGTCTTTAGGGGCAATGAACATTTTATCAGTTTGAAAAACGTCATGGTCATTTTTCTCCCATACACTTCATTGGCACCCTATAAGACTAATTACACCTGTGATATTGCTCTCACATACACGATGGACGCTGGTGACCTGACCATTTGCATCCAAACAAATATTTAAAATGAATATTGAATTTTCAGTTCTTCAATTCATTAATTTCCAATCATTTTATGTTCACAGATCCGAACATAAAACCAATCAACCGTCTCCATTTCGCAATGAACAGCTGAAAGAGCTTAAAAATGGCAAATTGCATCGTTTAACGCATGCAAATAATAAACTTCATAATTGAAAAAGAAAAGTATGCAATTTATTCGTTATCCCTCGATTGATACTTAAAGCACACAATGAAGTAAAGTTTCGATCAAACTTCCCATAATCCTATTAAACCAACATCCAACCACCGCCACCAATCGTCGTCCTGCACAGATCGGTTCGACACTAGTTTCCTCCAATTAAGTCAGCCCTCTTGTTGTAAGTGCCCATCGTCGTCGTTGGTAAAACTATCTCAAATTAAAAACTTTCGCAATATCACCCGCTTCTACTACCGGATAGAGCCATGTCGTTCGTTCTGAAGCATTAATAGAAACACGTTCTCTTCGTCTCTCGGTCCAATTTACAGGTGTCACAAAGCAGGTCGGTGATGCTCTGCTGCTGGAAGGACAGCAGCGGTCCGGACGTGTTGTCAGCATCGGCATCGCCCCGTGGGGCATCGTCGAGCGAAACCACGAATTGCTGGGACACAACCGGGACGTTCCCTGCCATAGTATAAGCTCACCACGGTAAGTTGCTCCAGAGTTTAGATGCACTTGTTGGAAAATTTAATTTATTTCGAAATGAAGGAATTTTTGGCCACCATGCGTACATAATTTTAATACCGTTGGAAGAACAACCGGCATTCAACTTTTTTTTTTTCAATCCTTTCAAAACGTTTCCAGCTCAAAATTGGCTGTGTTAAACAATCGTCACGCTTACTTCCTGCTGGTGGACAATGGAACCCAGGCACGCTACGGTGCAGAGCTGATCCTGAGGCGGAAGCTGGAAAAATACATATCGAACCAAAAGTTGCAACCCTGTAAGTACCGACTTATGTAGAGCTGTGAAGTTGAGTATGTGTAGCACGCACGAATTTTCCGGCATTCACTCTTGGAATGCAGAAACAATTTATGAGGTTGGAAGAAGCTAAGCGAGCGGAATGCTCACATTTACCCAGCGCCGCACGAGGGACTTGTTGCATTCGTTGCAATTTTCAGAGAGTAGTAGCGTCGTGTGGGCGTCCACGTTCTCCAGAGTCTGTTGCCGGAAGCGGAAGTGAGTACGAGTGTGAATGCGAAGCGATTTTAGCGTCTTTTTAAAATTGCAGTTTATGATGATTTTGCAGTCAGCTTAGGGGAATTTCTCACCGTGAGAAAAAAAAGACGCCTCCGCTTGTGCCATATGCAATGAGAGACAACTGCATTCCATCACCGTTTGAGTGAAATGAAATTGCTTCCTAGGCATCCGGGAACTCGTAACAATTTTCAACTGTGTTTCAATTTCATAACCTAGCTATATGAAAAAAATGCATGATGACAGAAATGGAACTTGATGATGCTGTACATTTAAAGCAGTAGTACGTCATCAGACTTAATCCACAAAATACGACACATGTAGGGTTTTCATCCGGCAATTTCGCTACTGTTCGTATTTTTGCTTTAAAATCATATCTAAAAAGCCTTAAACATCCAAATGTGGTTTAAAATTAATAGGAGAGCTGCTACTGGAATCCAGTAATTACGGTAATGGGTTCGGTAACGGAGCTCGCGAGCTCCCGAATTCGAAGCACAAAAGATCCAATTGACATAGCTTACTTTATCTATTACGACTTTGTTGATTTGATTTAAAAAAAAGATACAAACCGTATTGAAATTACCGAATGAAATCCCTAGACAGCAATTAGGACCAGCAGCAGTGCCGATTACCTGAGCTGACCTCTTTCATGAGCGATGTAGTGCTGCTATTGACTACGGCGATCTGATTCTCATCTGTATGGGCAGTGTGTACGTACATGTTTAGCACGTCAAGTGCAACATTCCTGTCTGTTGGAAACCCATTTTTCCAATCACCGAAGCACAAATAAATCAATCATCGCGTAATTAAAATAGCAAATATTGAACGAAACGGATTTTCCGGAGAGCTCTTTCTCGTCCGGTCGTTCGTTCGTTCGTTCGCTCGTTCGTTCGTTGGTTCGGTTCGACTCTCTGTGTGTAGAACCATTATACGAAGAGGTGCACATATACGTACTATGGGTAGCCTATGCATAATGGCTCCTGATTGCATTCGCTCATCATTCATCATCGTTTAGCTTATTTAGTACGGTTGACCTTGGGTGAGTAGAAATGGGTCAAACTGTCGTTCGATGCTGTTGGATTGATTTAAGGGGGTAGTACACTTTGAACGTCCAAAAAGTAAGGCATTTTCGTTAATTTTTTTAAGCAATAAAACACTCAGGGAGGGCAAATATGTTATAACCCATTTATTAGCCATCCTTCGAACTACAATTTGTATTTTTTTTTAACTCGATTGGCGTCTCCCCGTGGCCGGTGCACCAGGTCGCGCGAGCGTCCTCGCGCGGAAGTAAGAAAACGACTTGGGAAAATACTCCTTTCCATGTGATCCTGAAACATAAATCGAACAAAAATCCTGATTAGTAATGAAACTTGGGTTAGAAATACGTATTCCGATTTTTTTTAATTAATTTTTAAAAAAAATGTATGTGGCCTTAGGAAAAAAAAAGTACATTCTTTCACCCTAAAAATGCTTACAAAATCGTGGATTAAAAATCCATTTTTGACAAAATCGAAAATGTGGATACGTATTTCTAAGCAGAATTTAAATCTGAACAAGAAAACCTAGGCGATATCCAAATTTGATGATAACTGGTTAGAGTTATTTCCCACGCCAGTTTGAAAAACCCCGTTTCGAGATAAACGCGTTTAAAAATAAAATTGCTCTCTCAGCGCGCCGGTACATGTTTTAGGAAATCGCTTCGTAAAGCGGTAAGGAATATTCTGGTGGACTTGGAGTCTTTTCTAAATTAAAATATACATCCCAAGGAACATTTTATGCAAAAAAAAATGCATTTTTTTGAAAAATCAAAGTGTACTCCCCCCTTAAATTCAATGGCCAGCGTTTGTGCATTACTAATCCAAGCTGACAAATACACAACAGTAATGCTATTTTAAAATACAGAATACATCAAAAGATAGTATTCAAAATTCCAAGAAACTTTCCCAAAGACACTTCAAACCTAAAATCCAGTTTATCAACAACAACAAATCAAACGTTCACGTTTTTGCTTGATTATGTTTAGACCATTGTACAGGAGATACTAGGATTTGAATGAACTTCGATTGAGACTCAGTTGCAACCTGGTGAATCTTAAATAGGAGTCAATTGCATCTTGACAGGAATTTCCTTGAATCTCGACTGGAGTTTGGTGGAAGCCCATCTAAGATTAGGTTGAAATCCGATTAGGATTCCGTTGCACCCTGACTGGAATTTCGGAGAATCTCGACTGGGATTTTGTAGAATCTCGTCTGTGGTTAGGTTGCAACCCATCTGAGATAAGGTTGAATTCCGTTGAACTCCGAATAGAATCTCGTTGAAACTCAGCTAAGATTTCGTTGAATCTCGACTGGGATTTCGTTGATTCCTGACTGGGATTTCGTTGAATCTGGACTGGGATTTCGTTGGATCTCGACTGGGATTTCGATGGATCTCGACTGGGATTTTGTTAAATCTCGACAAGAATTTCGTTGAATCTAGACTGCGATTACGTTGAACCTCAACTGGGGTTTGGTTGAAAGCCTTCTGAGATTCGATTGAATTTTGATTGGGATTCCGTTGAACCCCGACTGGAATTTTAATGAAACTCTGCTGAATTTAGTTAAATCTTGAGTGAGTTTGCGTTGAATCTTGACTACGATTTCGTTGAATCTCGTCTGGGATTTCGTTGAATCTCGACTGGGATTTCGATCGATCTTGACTGGGATTTTGTTAAATCTCAACTGGAATTTCGTTTAATCTCGGCTGTGATTTCGTTGAATCTCTACTGGGATTTCGTTGAATCTCTACTGGGATTTTGTTGAATCTTGACTGGGGTTTGGTTGAAAACCATCTAAGATTAGGTTGAATTCCGTTAAACACCGAATAGAATTTCGTTGAAGCTCGACTGAGATTTCAGTGAATCTCGACTGGGATTTAATTGAATCTCGACTGAAGTTTATTCAAATCCATCTGATATTTGGTTAAATTCCAATTGGGAATTCGTAGAACCGCGACTGAATTTTAGTTTAATCTCGAATAGAATTTAGTTAAATCTTGACTGAGATTTCGTTGAATCTTTACTGGGATTTCGTTTAATCTCGACTGGGATTTCGTTGAATCTCGACTGGGATTTCGATGGATCTCGACTGTGATTTCGATGGATCTTTTACTGGGATTTCGTTGGATCTCGACTGGAATTTCGTTTAATCTCGGCTGGGAGATCGTTGAATTTTTACTGGGATTTCGTTGAATCTAGACTGAGATTACGTTGAACCTCAACTGGGGTTTGGTTGAAAGCCATCTGAGATTCGGTTGAATTCTGATTCGGATTCCGTTGAACCTCGACTGAAATTTAGTTGAACCTCTACTGGATTTTAGTTGAATCTCGAGTGGAATTTATTTGAATTTCGATGAACCTCGAATGGGATTTAATTTAATCTCAACAAAAATTTCGTAGAATCTCGACTGGGATTTCGTCGAACCTTTACTAGATTTTTGCAGTATTTCAACTTGAATTTCATTGAATCTTGACTGAGGTTCGGTTGAAACCCAACTGAGATTCGGTTGCATTCCGATTGGAATTACGTTGAATCTCTACTGGGATTTCGTTGAATATAGACTGAGATTACGTTGAACCTCAACTGGGGTTTGGCTGAAAACCATTTGAGATTCGGTTAAATTCTGATTAGGATCCTGTTGAACCCCAAATGGAATTTAGTTGAACCTCTACTGGATTTTAGTTGAATCTCGGCTGGAATTTAGTTGAATTTCAATGAAACTCGAATGGGATTTAAATTAATTTAAACTAAGATTTCGTAGAATCTCGACTTGGATTTCGTTAAACCTTTACTAGAATTTTTGTTGTATTTCAACATGGATTTGTTGAATCTTGGCTGGGGTTCGGTTGAAACTCAACTGAGATTCGGTTGCATTGCGATTGGAATTACATCGAAACCCGATTGGAATTTAGTTGAATATCTATTGAAATTTAGTTTCGTTGAATCTCAACTGGGATATCGTAGAATCTCGACTAGAATTTAATTAAATCTCGTCTAGGATTTCGTTGAAGCTCGTCTGGAATTTCGTTGAATCTAGACAAAGATTACATTGAATCTCGACTGGGGTTTTATTGAAACCACTCTGAGATTTGGTTGAATTTCAGATTAGGATTCAGTTGACCCCCGACTGGAATTTAGTTTAACCTCGACTGGGATTTTGATGAATCTTGACTGGAATTGCTTTGAATATCGATTGGGGTTAATTGATACTCATCTGTGATTCAGTTGATTTCCGATTCGGATTCCGTTGAACCCAGACTGGAATTTAGTTGAATCTCGACTGGAATTTGGATGAATATCGACTGGGATTTCATTAAATCTCGACTGGTATTTCGTTCACTATCGACTAAGCATCTCGACTAGAGTTTGGTTGAAACCCATCTGAGCTTCGGTTGAGTTGCGCTTGCGATTCCGATGAAGCTCGACTGGAATTTAGTTGAACTTCGACTGGAATTCAATTTAATCTTGACTGAAATTTCGTTACATCTCGACTGGATCATTTCAGCCAAAACAATGTTTTTTTTTTTAATTATGAAATAATTAGATGCTATGATCATATTTTGAATTGGTAACATACAAAAAGAGGTTGCAAAGAATGTGTTTGACATATTAAACCTGTTTATTTCACTTCATGCGAGTCATAATCAGCGATTTTTCACCCACTTACTCACTCAGCGATCAGCAAATCACTGATTGTGACTCATAAAAA